CACCATCGCAGTAAACGCGATTAAGATTTTTAACACAATTAACGCATCTGGAGTGAAGAATGACTCAAAATCCCTGAAATTTCTCTTTCAACGCATTTCGGGCGGTTTGTCCAAGTAGAGTTACCTTCGCACATGCGCAAATGGGCAGTTGATCTGGTAGTGACGGGCAGCTGAACAAATCAACTCAATATGGAAGATGATAAACACACATTGGCCCTCTTGATGGGAAATTTGTGTGTTAAAAACAATAACAAGGCGGAACAGTCGACAGACAAAGTATTATGCACATTGTGCAAGAAGGATTTTCCTTTTCACTGAAGCACTTTCAGCTGAAAATATCACATTGACGCGAAGCATAGTCGGGGATGCTGCAACACGTTGACTGACACATTTGTCAAGTGGATTGCAACAAACTGCAATGCTATTAATATCGTTGAGAACACGCGCTTGACGCAGCTTTGGTTCCTCTTTTCAAGGACTTGAAGTGCCTCCCCAAGAATGACAGAGAGAGAGTCGATAAATGTTTCAGTTTTTTTGTTAACATGAATGTTCAAGATGTTCAATAAACATGTTAAGTGTGTATATTTTCCCTTTTTCTCGAGTCTGTTTGCTCATGCAAAATGAAATGCGATTAATGTAGAATAGAAATTAATGGTATTTAATCGTGATTAATCAAAATTAATCCACAGTAACCCTGTGATGAACCTGATTAAACACTTTAATTGTTTGACAGCACTAATATATATGATATACTTACCTATTAGTATATAGGTTTTTTTATGTTTTATTTCACCGGAAAGAACCTGTGTTAAAAGACTGAAGAAAACTATTCAAATTCTCTTTGAATGTAAGCATACATTCTTTGTGTTTATTCTGCATTTACTCCATTATATTGCATGAATGTCAGTTACAAGCTTAAATATAAAGTTGAAAAAAAAGTAATTGCAACCAGGATATTGATCAAGTAATTGTGATTAATCAAAATTAATTACAGAAAATTGTGCGATTAATTAGTTTTTTAATCTATTGACAGGACTAAAATGTTCATGTCTTTGTTTACTCACACAAACACGCTCTATATGTAGTGAGGTTCACTGTTTCTCAGGGGCTGTGATTAACTTCAGTGTCAAAAGTAATTTACTGATTTTAATGTCTTTAAATGACATTTTAGTGACACTGTTGTTGAAGGTGTTAATATGTTACCTGTGTTTCATGTTTGTACATGTAAATTCAAGTGTGCTTGCTGATGTAGTTACTGTTAGCTGCATGTGCCGTGTGAACTGTGTGATTTTTTTCTGTATATTTGTATATTAACAGTATTTAGGTATTATATTTAAAAAATGTGTTGCTGTCTCGCAGACAAATACAAATATCATTTAGCCTTTACAGTGAATGTGTGTGTGTGTGTGTGTGTGTGTGTGTGTGTGTGTGTGTGTGTGTGTGTGTGTGTGTGATCATCTTTAATACCAATAATGTGAAGTCTAGTGATGAGTGTTAGTAATTATCGCCCTGTGTAACAGGGTCATAAATCACATTGTTATAATTACACAAAATGTGTTCTAAACCCCCAAACTGCTCCTTTTATACCTGACTTTTAGGACCTCCAAGCCTGTAGTTGTGTTCATTATCAGTTAGAGCCCCTCCTCATTCTTTTCTTCTTCTTCTTTGGTGCAATACTATAAATACAGTG